ACAAAAGTAAATTTTAATCTATGGTAACCGCGGTTAACTGTGACATCTGGACGTTGAACACCTCAGTCCTTCCCGTGACCATGGGTGCTGTAAAGCTCTCGCAACGTCGGGTATTTAAAAAGTTAAATATACGCGATAAATTCCGTAAAACCTAGTATTATTTAAATGTGTAGTGTTCGCGTAAATATAAGAAATCACTATACGTTCTTTTACGCGGGTTCTAATTGATCTTTTTGTTTGTCTTATATAAGAGAGACTACATTCACAATCGAGCTTGTACACTCCTGCATCTTGTAGAGGAATTTGACACTTGACGGATGGTAGGAACTTACTAATCTTCTTCGGCTGCTTGTGGAATGTTCTAACAGAAGCTTGCTTCAAGATGTAGCCAATCTTGTCTGTGAATCCTCTGACATATGGTAGTACAGCACGACACACAGCTCGACTGTGGCCAGCTTCACTCGGTCACTGTGACGTAGGAGTGGGACAAGATTGGCTACATCTTGAATCAAGCTTCAATTATAACATTCTACAAGCCACCGAAGAAGATTAGTCAGTTCCTACTATCATTCAAGTGTCATATTCCTCTACAAGATTTGTTACGATCTGTAAAATCGAAAAGTGCAAAGATTAACGGACTGCTGAAGTTACAAGTATATAAGTGATATACTGCCTATTATGCTTGCGCATCACCAAGAGTCATGCCGCGCCCGCGGTGTTAAGCGTTTTCAATTTCATTGCACGGTGTGTTGATGTAGCTTCGTCCGGTAAGCATTACGAGCTATCAAGTATTAAAGTTTTGAGTATGTAAGTGTTTTAATTATATTTGTTAAATAGTATTTATTTGTGTCGTATTAGAGCAGTGTTAGTTCTGGGGATAAGCATCTCTGTACGCGAGCAACCTGGGTTCGATCCCCGCCAGCACCTACGAAATTGTTAATCGCAATTGTAAGTGCTGATTTATCACGTCCTCGGCGGTGACGGAACACGTCGTGAGCAAACCTGGGTGTCTGAGCAATAAGAAAAAGAAATATTTTGAAGATATGTGAAGTTCTCCAATACGCACTGGGGCAGCGTGGCGGCCACTTAAAACCATTTTAGAAAAAATAGGAGACCGGTATCCAGCGGTGGAACTATATAGGCTGTTACTTTTTTTTACTTTGTCTTTGTATCGTATACATAATATGTTATATTTATGTTAGTTTTAGGGACAGAAGGGTACGTAATGCTGAGAAAAATATCATGTACTACGAAAGACTACAAATACGTTAAACATTTTTTTGATAAAATTTTCTAGTTTCATACGCCACATTTTTATAGAGTTAAGAATGTTTCAGATAGGGAAAATAAGAAATAATACAAAATATTATAGGAATAATTTATTAATATTGTTGTGCGCCTAAGTTGATGTCTGGTACCTGGCACTAGCACCATCTAGTGTCGGGTAACAGAGCGAGGAGAGCTTTCCAGAAAATGCCATGACTGAACTTTAAACCAACAGCGCCATCTAGTATCGAAGAGAAGAACTAAGTTTTCTGGAAAGCTTCACACTCGAACTTTCAGTACCTGTTCGATCGGGGGCCGGTATTTTGCTGGAATATTCTGGATGTATCGGCGCTGATTGGGCCTTTATATAGGCGTATATAAAGGCGTTGAAGCCCATCACAGGAGCAGTATTGGATTTGGCTATACAAGCGAAGTTTCGGAGCGAAATAAAGTGAATCACTGTGATTAATTATAAGTGTCTTTTTAGTTTTAATTGGTGTTCGGTAATTAAAGTGTTAATTTTGGTAATTCAATCGGCAGTTTTTATTGTCTCGAACCCTAAGCTCAAAACTCGTATATTTTTTATTATTATTATTATTATTTGGCCATCTACTTACTACTCGGGCGAAATTTGATAATAATGATTTTGTCTGTTCTTAATCCTCTTGTGCACATCACTTTTCACAGAATTATTGTTTACAATTGGCGTGATTTCCAAAAGCATGTTTAAGAGTCGGCTGTATATCGTCAATCAGATCAATTAAATTTTTGTTTTTCGGTACATCTGACGCTAACTCATGAGTTTATTTTTTTTTTTTGTAAAATTGGGTATCTTATATAAGTTCAATAAATTTTAATATCTTTAGAAGGTATTGTTTTTTGATCTTAATAACTACCGAGACATTTAGAAATCATTTACACGAGAATAGTAAACCTGAATAGACTAGCTTCCACTAGCAGTGCTTCATTCTATTGACTGTTAGATTTATTTGGGCCTTAAATTAGAATCTCTGAAATTGTAGTTCGTGTTTCTGCTATGAACAATAACAACTTCAGCTCGTCATCTATTATCAAATACGGCTGTTCATTACATTAGATAACTATCACTACGCAGAATATCCAAGGAACAACTTCAGTTAGAAATATCCGGTGACGTAAACAGAAAATATACAACATAATAACTAATTAACTTTACCCGTTTCTGCGAAATAATGAAAGTTCATTAATTATAGTAATATGTGTAAGATTCACGCATGTGTTTTTGATACGATTTTATTATTATTGGCTCAAAGTATATGTCAAATAATTTATTTTCACTGACCGTTAAGCAAAGCTATTATGTTTCCAGAACATAGCCTGCTCCGTTTTAAAAGCCGATAACGTACTAGCGATTTCCCTGGTGTTGTACGGTGGTAGTCATTTACTATTAGGCAGCCGCTCGTTTGCTAAACACTTCGATATAATTTATTGATGATGATTAATTGGTATTTCGTAATGTGTAAGCATATTCTGGTTGCAACTAATCATTAATGAATTCCATTAATCTTCCTTCTCCCTTGAGAGTGCAGCCACATACTGACACTTAAAGAAAATTTTTACGTGACGAAATATTTTTTGTACCTATTGAGTAATATTTGAAATCATGGTTATTATGATTTTTGAAATACACATCATTATCATTATTACCATTACATTCCTTTATACATAGCCTCCCACAAGTAATGCCACAAAGCACGGTCCTGAGCCACCCGCATCTATCGACATCATGCATGTTTTACCAGGTTGTCACTCCATCTAGTGTGACGACGCCCTATACTTCGCCTACCGGTACGAGGCTTGGCAGCCTCTCTCGAGAATCTTTTTCCCCTTTTGGTCGTTGGTTTTCGAACTATATGGCCAGCCCATTGCCACTTCAGCTTACTAATACGATAGGCTATGTCGGTCACTCTAGTTCTACTGCGGATTTCTAAGTTTATCATGCTGATAAAATCCCAAGCATAGCCCTCTTCATAGCTTGCTGAGCAACTTTGAGTGTCCTCACTCGACTATCAGTGAAGGATCCATAAGTTATCGCTGGAAAAACACTGTAAACGAAATTGTATACTCAGTGCATGATTGCACAATTTCGTTTTCAGGTTTTGAGGTATACCTGAAGAGAAAATACGTCGTAATTTCCTGAACACTGTCCAGCCGAGTTGAATCTTTTTGGTCGAAGTTGAACTTACCTAGTCGGACTATTTGTCCCAGGTAAACGTACTCGTCAACAACTTCGAGCTTAGTGCTCCTAACAACTACTGGTATAGGTGTGATGTTATGGACATTACACATGACCTTTAGTTTGTCCATGTTCATCTTAAGACCTATCTGTTGGAAACATTAACTGCCTTATTAATAAAAATTGCTTGTTCCAACCTTAATTCGAAGTTACACTTGGACTAGTTAATCTCAGAGTAACTGAGTATTAACTTCGTTATTATAATGTTATTAATAAACATGGAGTAATCTCGGATTAACTATACATTCCTTACGCCGGGATTAACGCGTGCGCTATGGCAACCCACTTATTTTAAAAGTAAAAAGAGTGAGTCAATGAATAATTGGTGAATGAACTCAATGCTTGATGATGACATTAATGACAGTGACAGGCAATATTTTGAGTTTGTTGTTCCTCGTGTTGTTTTCGGACTCGGCGGAAAAACTAAGTTGGTTCCTAAATATAATCACTTTTAATATTATTTTCGACTCAAAATGGATCAAAAACGCATTCGCTCTCAAAATTGGGATGAAGAAGAAAAGGTAATTTTAGTAGTTTTCTTTAATGTACTATTTATTGTTGTACAGTGGTCTTTATTAATATTATCTTTTACTGTTTCAGCTCTTATTTCGCTCTTTGCTTAGAGAATATGCGGACGTTAATGAAAATAAATGTCTAGATACGAATACAATTAAAATAAAAACAAAAGCGTGGGAAGAGGTTCGCAAAAAGTAAGATAATTAGTTTTCTGTATTGAATAAAATTATATTTACGGATTTTATCGCGTTTAATAACTTATTTTAACTCATTATTAATTCCCGACGTTTCGGGTGCAACACCGATGCGACGCTCCGGAAAGTCTGCAGTCTATGAACATGTAAAAATACGGGTTCTTACCAAGGATGATAAGTATAATTAACAAAATTAAACCCAAACCCAAGCATACCACTGCAAGACTTCAAGATACTGTAAGTAAGTTCGTTTTACATAGGTCGGACAAAAAAAAATAATATTCAAAAACTGAAGGTAGCTGGGCTAACTATGACATTGGAACATCAAACATCTCAGTCCCCCCGTGACCATGGGTGCTGTAAAGCACCCAAAACGTCAAGAATTAAAAATAAGTTATTAACGTGATAAAATCCGTAAATATGGTTTTATTCAATGTGTAGTGTTCGTGTGAGTTTAAGAAATCATTATGGTTTTCTGTATGTATGTTCAACTTCGGTTTTGTATCCTATAAAACAAGACTTTTCAGGTTTTCTTTTTTCAGAGCATGACATATAATTCTGCTTAATTTGTTCCAAATCTGTTATGCAATATAATCGTAACGTTGACAAATGTTTGAAAAGTAGGTTCAAATACAGAACAGTCATATTAAATGTAACCCAATAACTTAAATTACAACAACCAATAAAAGATTCATACTACTAATTTTATCTTCTATTCTTATAGGTTTTTGAAAATACAATGAAAAACAATGAAGGTAAATGCTCGGAAGAAATACAGCACCTTCAAAAAAGAATTATCCAAAACAGGTGATGGGGCAAGACCAACAACTCCTAATGATGGAATAATAGAAATTAAAGATTTGTTGAATCCTGCAGAGCTGTTGAGGGATCATAATATATATAATTCGGATGGGATTGTGAGTACATTTTTTTATTCTTTAGTACTCCTTATAACATTTTAGAAGACAAAGTCCTCAATTCATTCATTTATTAATCATTAATATTTATTTTTATTTAGCACATTTAGTATAATTGTTATTCTGTTTTCAATAGATCGAAAGTTCCTCATCAAATAAAGTTATATCGGCAACTACCAGCGAGACATGTGACAACACATTACAGGTCAGTTGTTCAAAAATGTCTGGCAGTAATAATGAATAACATTAATAACATACAAAATTGCCTTTAGTGTGTGTGCCTTACATGTTATTACTTTTATTATTTATTTCAGAATGGACCAATGACATATGTGGTCAAATATTTGGATACACAAAATGTGGGTGAGAATATTAACCCAGAAAATCAGCAGATAGCTATAAGTCACAATATCTATTGATCTATGATATTATATAGCATAAAGTATTGCATTCTGAATACTAAAATAGTAAACATTATTTTTACATTTTTTAGGACAACATTATAGAAAATATTGATGCACAAGAGAATGCCCAGGAATTTACTTCATCAGCGGTGAGCTTACAACAATAATATAGGTGCTAGGTACATGTACACAACAGATGTGTATTAAATCTATGGTGTACTTTAAATTTTTACAATATCTTACAGTTATCACAAGATGCGATTGGAGCCACTCTAATGAACAAAAATATGGGCATGACTTCAGCAAAGAAGATGTGTAATTTATTGAGAGGCACTTTTCTATTTTGAGTTTTATGATGAATGATTATTTATTTGCCAGTGTAAAATCCTTGAAAACTTTTTTACAAACCTAATTCTTATTATTTTTGCAGGTGCCTAGACGAAAACTCATACGAGTATGAGATAATAAAAAGGTAATATTTATGCTGCTAGTTTTGTTTAACTTGTTCTGTTTATCTATCAACATATAATCTTATTTATTAAACTGGTTGTCTTTTACAGAACCATGATGATTATGTTAATAACATGCTAAGCCATAGCAAAAAGCTAAAATAAGAAGAGCACAGGAGACGTATAGAAATGGCTGAAGAGGAACATGCAATAAAAATTTAAATATACAAAGAAAAACTAAAATGTGTCATACTCGAAAGAGAAATTTTAGAGTTAATAAAATTGCGTGAAAAGCAAAATTAATTGAATTACCATTTTTGTTTTGTTTTTTGGATATAAATAAAATCTTTTGTACATGTAAATATTGTATATTTATTTTAAAAGTTTTCATTAATAAATGCTGCTCGTACAGAATTTCCTCTTAGGGAGTTATTTAATGATTGTGTGACTGGTATATTTCCATCATCTCCTCCTACTATATCCTCAAGCATATCTTTATTTTGCATTGCAATGTTGTGCAGTATTGCCAATGCAACAATATATAGTTTTGTATGCTTTAATTTGGAATTTAGTCCTCGCAGTAAACACCGAAACCTTTGCTTCCACACTCCAAAGCATCGTTCTACAGTGTTTCGGGTCCTGATATGCGAGTGGTTATACATTTCTTCCTTTTGTGTATTAGGACGCAGGATAGGTGTAACCAAATAAGGAGTACAAGCATAACCAGAATCTCCGAGAAGTCTGCCTTTAAATTCCGCCTGCTTAAACCTTTGTTTTATGCGACTTTCGTTTAATATTCTTGAGTCATGTGTGCTGCCTCGCCAATATGCCACTATATCCATGATTTCCAAATTAGAATTTGACACAACCTGGAACAAATCACTGATAGCTTCTTTAATATGAAATAATAGATTGAGGTGATGTTTGTACTGAATCTAAGAAAAATAACTTTAAGTACATATATGGCAAATATGGGTTAGTTAGGCGCTATAAAACTTACTTGTACATTTATTGAGCTGTATCCTTTCCTGTTAATATAGTATTGTCCGATATTTCAACCGACTTTCGGGATTCGAATATGTGTGCAATCAATAGCCCCTATCACTTGTCTAAATCCACATATTGAATAAAAACCTGCAATCACATTGTTCTGCTCCACATCACTTCTTGGCAATTTAATCCACTGGGCTCTTTTTGTTACTAGTGCTAAAGCAACTTGTTTACATACAAGTGATATTGTTGGCTGACTCATTCCACTTAGATCCCCTGCATCATCTTGAATCTGTTTAAAACAAAAATAATTGAATTAGAAATCATAACAACTAATAACTATGTACTTAATTCTTAATACTATTGATGATGAAAGATTTTAATGTAAATGAAATCGATAGTAAGTAGGTGCATAGTTATAATTACCTCTCCACGGGCCCATGTTCTTATTGCAGTCAAAACTTTCAGACAGGGTGGAATAAATCCACCTCTTGAATCACCAGCTAAATTATTTTTCACCATATCAATAAGGGAAATGGCAGTACTTCGAGAAAATCTGTATTTAATTTTAAATTCGGCTTCTTGAAGTTCTTCCAGTGGATTCTTACGAATTTTATAAAATTTTACACGTCTCATCAATGGAATCTGATTAACAACTTCATTAATTTCATCTATGACTCTCATAACATCAATCAAATAATCTCTATTCATCTTGATGTTAGATGAACTAAATTAACAAACAATATCCGAACTTACAACCTATGAATTAAACACGTGTAACAATTAACAACGCGCCTCAAAATGTCAAAATACGCGACTAGTCTATGCTTACTCAGTCGTTAAACTAGGTACCGCCAAGGATTAACTATTATTCCGAGAGTAGATTCGGATTAGTTTACGCCCTCCTTAATCTATGTTTATTAATACTGAAATTGGATATTTTAAGATTTAAACTAGGAGTAAAGTTAATCTCGCTCAAGTCTATAATTATTAATAGGGCTGTAAAATGAAAATGATTTATTGATTTACAATGATACATTTCAAACCAGTCGCAACGACCCCTGTACTAGGTTGGAAACCTGTATGTTGGGTGTACTCCTCAGGTAAGCTCTCTCCAGACCAGGATCGCAGGATCGTCAATAAAGAAGACCAGGATAGTACTAATAACTTGATTTAATAACTATATTTACAATGTCGTATATGACAAATAAAGATGTAAGAAACGTGTGTTGCCGCTACGGTTGTACGGTGCAGTCTGACGCCCGAACGGAGTGGTGGCATGTGTGTGACGTATGTATGCGTGACGTCACTGTGGGCCCGGTACGATAAAAGGTTTGTTGGTTGCGCCAACATCTTTCCGCCTCTTAAAGCTCCTGGCTTCAAGCTTCATCATCATCCAGGAATGGACAGATTCGGTTGATTGCTCGACGAATCGTGCCCTTCGTTGTAAGTATGTCCGCAACTCGACATGCGCCATCGGTGCCAGGATGCACTGCTTGAATCCGTCCTAGTGGCCACTTGAGCGGTGGTGTCGCCTCGTCCTTTATCAGAACCATCTGACCAGGTTGAATGTCGGGGCGGCGTCGCTGCCAACGGGTGCGCTGCTGCAACTTTCAGATATATTCCTGGCTCCATCTTGACCAAAAATGTTGCCTTGCCTGCTCGATTTTCGCATATCTATGAAGCCGGTTAGGGTTTACTTCTTGCAGGTCTGGTGCCGGTAATGAAATGAGCGGTCTTCCTATGAGGAAATGCCCGGGGGTGAGGGGAACTAGGTCGTGCGGAGATGAGGACATAGGACATAGGGGCCTAGAATTAAGTATAGCCTCAATCTGTGCGAACAGGGTTGTTAGCTCCTCAAAGGTTAAATGCGTATTACCTATCACCCTTTTCATGTGGTATTTTGCAGACCGGACAGCTGCTTCATATAAGCCTCCAAAGTTTGGAGCATACGCGGGTGCAAAATTAAACTTAATCTTATCTTCTACAAATGACGCTGACACAGAGTTAGAAGCGGCAGTGAGAAACTCGCGGTTAGCGCCAACAAAATTTTTTCCATTGTCGCAGAATATCTCTAGAGGGGGCCCTCTACGAGTCATAAAGCGACGCAATGCTAAAATAAAATCTTCAGTACTCAAAGAACTGACAGCCTCAAGATGTACGGCCTTAACCTTAAAATCTATTATGACACACAGGTAACTCTTTGACAGTCTTGCGCCGCGACCTTTCCTGTCAACTGTGTAAAAAGGACCTGCGAAATCAGTTCCCACGATCTCAAAAACATATCCAGGTGTGACCCGTTGTGCTGGTAAATTGCCCATTATTTGTTGCGAAACTTCTCCTTTCATTCTACACAATCACCATAAGTACGTCTCGCCAGTACTCTGCCATTCAAAGGCCAATAATGTTTACGAATAGCTGAAAGAAGAAGCTGCGGTGGTGCATGCATCAACTTAAAATGAAAATATAATATAAATGAAAAATACCTAAATATCAATTTAGTAATATGATGCTTTGTATCCAGAATTATAGGATGCTTTTTGTCGTACACAAATTGCGAGTCATCTAATCGACCCACGTATTAATCCTGACTCGTCTTGGTAAGGATTTAATTTACTTGAACCAGGTATAGAACTTGGGTTGCTCTTAAAATCAGCGAAGCTTTCACATTGTGATAAATAAGCCAGCTTGGACTCCGCCTGTTCAAGCTCGTCCACTGTTAGAAAACTCGACTCATACTTTTGCTTATGCACCATTACATTGATAAAACGACACACATATGCAAATATGCGACGTAATTTAAGAAAACTAGAATACCTTGACATGTCGATTATTGGCGATATCGATTTATCAATGCTTACAGTGTGTGCACGCAACTCAGGTAAGCTCGCTTGTACCGCGCCGCTCTGTTCAGGCCATTGGCTTTCGTTATCCTGCAGGAATGCAGGTCCATCCCACCACAGTGACAATGACTGTACTTCGTCCGGGTATACTCCGCGCGAAGCCAGGTCGGCTGGGTTCTGCGCTGAGGGGACATACATCCACATAGCGTTTGAACATTTGTCATTAATCTCCGCGACTCGGTGCGATACAAACGTGCATAACTTGTTTGTCGGAATGCACAGCCATCCCAATACTACTTTACTGTCTGACCAAAAGTACCTATTCTTAATATTGCATCGTAAAGCTTGTACAGCCCTTTCACATAAGCGTGAAACTAATAAGGCTCCACAAAGCTCCAGACGGGGAATGGTCGTGGCCTTTAAAGGTGCGACCTTCGACTTAGCGCATAAAAGTCGTACTGTGTAATTACCTAACTCATCCATTGATGGTAAATAAACACATCCAGCATATGCCTTTAACGAGGCATCCGAAAATGCATGGATTTCGATTGTTACCGCATTCCTACAACTTGCATGACGCGGAATACTTATTTCCTTTAAATAACCTATGTTAATTATAAACCTAGTCCAGATACAGTCAGGCGACTGGGGAATTTCCTCATCCCAGTCCAATTTCTGTGACCAGAGTGATTGCAAGAAGATTTTACATAAAATAACACATACACTCAACAGCCCTAAAGGATCAAAAATACTTGACACTACAGATAGGACAGCCCTTTTAGTGTACTTAACATGGTTATCTATCAACTGCAATTTCGAACATTTGATTAAAATATTATCCTCATTAGGATTCCATTCAACACCTAAAGTGTTACTTTGATTGGATATTTTCAAATTATCTTGCTGACAATTGCTTTCTTCCGCTACACTGCGGAGAAACTCCTTTGAGTTGCTTTTTAATTTTCTTAAATTAAAATGAGCAGAACTTAAAGTCTCGTCGATCCTTTGGTGTAAATTTATTAATTTTTTCTCATCATTTAAACCTGTTATTAAGTCGTCTATGTAAAAATCATGTAATATTACTTCTTTCACCAAAGGATCGGTGCCTTCATGACCTAATTGAGCGAGACACCTAGTGCTGAGGTAGCTTGCCGATGACGTACCGTACGTCAGGGTATTAAGCGCGAAGTACCTCATGCGCTCGTCTTCATTATTACGCCATAAAATCATTTGAAGGTGCCTCTGTGTTGGTTCCACGACTACTTGTCTATACATCTTCTCTAAATCTCCTATGAATATGAAAGCGTGTTGACGAAATCTTATTAGAATAGAGAAGACGTCGTCTTGCACCGTGGGACCCACCATGAGGATCTCATTGAGCGAATAACCAGAATCAGTCTTCGCTGAGGCATCAAATACCACGCGACACTTTGTGGACTCGCTTTGCTCTTTTAAAATTGGATGATGCGGTAAGAAATAGGCTTTTTCTGGTTTGTCACTCTCCGATAAATGACCTAATTCGGCATATTCATTAATAAAATCTACATATTGCGATTTTACGTCAGGCTGCCGCTTAAAACGTTTCTCTAATGAGTCGAATCGTTTTCTCGCTAATCTGTATGAGTCACCCAGCACATCTGGATGCGTACTAAACGGCAACGTAACGCAAAACCTCCCGTCAGCTAAGCGTTTCGTGTTTTGCTTGAAGTGAGCTTCGCACGCCTCCTCTTCTGGGGACAACACTGGTGTAGTTGGCACTTCCTCCAACTCCCAAAACTTGCTTAGCTGATTACGTATTTCCATACTAAATCCACAATGAGTGCTTTTTACCTTTGAACTGCTGCTATCGTTACTACTTAACATTACAGATCCTACCATTAACCAGCCAAATATAGAATTTTGCAATATGGGCTTATTGTGCCCCAGCCTTAACGTTTCACTGCTAATTACATCCCAAAAAATGTCCGCTCCCAATAACATATCTATTTGTGAAGGCTTATAATAAGCAGGGTCAGCTAAAACAACATTTTGTGGAACAACAATATTCGAAACGTCCACCTGTTCTAACGGCAACTGACCCGTTATCTGGGGAATAACAAAAGCATCGACCTTTATACACGATTCCTTATCACTGCGCTCGCGCGGTTGGATTGACACGGTGCAATGTCTTAGCGCATCAAACGAAATATTATTAACGCCGGTCGCCCGAACCGTGTCAACAGGTTCACTTTGTATGCCTAACTTATTCCTCAGCACCTCCGTAATAAAACAAGGAATTAAAACAGCCAAATCAGTATGCAATCAAAGTTCAAAATACAAGCCAAGTACAGAAAATCCAATAATAGGCAGTTATGTATGTACGAGCAAGCACAAGAGTAGGTGATAAATGACTGTTAACTCTGATGATGACAAAGAAAAATGTACTTTCCTAGAGAGAGAAACGTAGGCCGTGCTTTTGTCATTACCATTATTGTTTCTTTTCAACACGTCAACGTCAACACGGCTATACTTGGTAGAGCCATGCTGCAGTTATATTAGTAGTATAGTTGTAACACGAATGGGGGAGCTCGACCGGGGAAGGACCATGCTCTCACAGAATACCAGCGTAAAATAGTAGCTCAATGCTGCTGTGTTTCGTATGATGAGTGTAGAGAACCGGGGAACCTTTTTATTGGAAACGAGGCATTCGATCTTAGTTCTCACGGGTGACAACGCATCTCCATTTTGATTCGTAATCGAGGATAGATGTAAATTTCTATGGGTTACAGCAACCACTTACCATCAGATAGACTATATGTTCATTTGTAACTCTATCCTATATAAAAAACTACCTGTTCTTCACTTACCTGCGCCCCTATACTGCAGTTGAAATGAAAGTTGTACTAGCTAGTAAATTTTAATGTGAATAAGTTATTTTTATCTTTCTATCCAACATACATTAATGTGATATTCATAATTATTCAATATATTATCAATCGGAAAAATGTGAGAAAAGTCGAGAAAATAAATTTTACTATTTTTGACTGTATCAACTTTAAAATCCATTTCCGCACAAAATGCCCTATAAGTACCAACTAGATTTAAAATTATCAGGAAGTTATTCAGTCAGAGTTAAGCAATTTATTTCATCGAGTCGTAATCGAATAAAAATTTTTCTTAAACAGAAATTTTAATTTTGTGAGTTAAATCTGAGCTACTAGTTATTAGAATTTTGGTGTTTAGTATTTTTACAGACGAACACACATGCTACCGATATTACTAACAAAACACCTCTCCGAATTACTTCACTAAAAGATATAGCTAAAACCATAAATTTTAAAAAGCAAAACTGTAAATAAAACAAAAAATTAATTTCTTGAAAGCTACAAAAAATCGTAGGGGTCAAATCAGAAGGAAATGGTGTCCCTAAACCACAGACCTTAGCTGGTGCAGGTTTCCTGGAACAAACTGTATATAATTTACTTCAAGTTAATTTGTTTAGAAAAGTGTAGAGATTAACGTTTCTCTCTTAAATATTATCTATATTTTTATTATTTAGATTAAAATGGATAAACCAAACCGCGGATAAAAGAAAGTGAAAAGGTCCAAAAAATTAAAGAGCAACCACTCAGGTGTTGTTCTGTGTATTTAGGTGTATACTTTAAAAACCAAAATACTTTTATTCAAATCGCAACTTATCACTTATGATGACACTGTGCAACAAAAAACTTCACTTCAGTCTCAACTAGCGACATCTGGTATACGTAATTACATTTACGTCCTTCACGTTACATTACTGTGAAGTTATGAAGTTACGTTACGAGACGGTGTATGTTATGGTATAGTCGAACTGTACTTGCTCTATACTGAATATATAGTGCAGTGTGCAGTTTTATTGCTGATAATAGTTAATTGAATAAGTAGCAAAGGAAGTTGAACATCCGCTCCCAAACGATATTATTTTAAACAATCTCATGATGTAATTCTGATGTATACATATTATAAATAAAGTTGAAGTGCCTGTCTGTGATTTCGGAATAAGTGGATTCTATTAAGCTGAGGTTACATGCATGCTATAAAGACATACATAAATATTAAAAAAAAGCATGTCTATTATTCTGAACCAATTGTGACGGAGAGCAATGCCAAGAGGGATCTAGGCTATATTTTATCCAAAAACCTTAAAGTTTAAACAAAAAACTAAAAATGTGTTAAATAAACCGTCTGATCATTTGAAATTTAAATAACACCACATTAATAATACATCCCATCCAAGCGAAGTCGGTACGGATCGCTAGTTGCAAATAAATTGAGTGAAGTTTAAAAATTAACTGAATTTTATAAATTAAGCTCTAATTGCTTTGAAATAAAATTCTTCACAATTAATGTCATTAGGCAGGTTATTACTAATAACATTCATGAATGTACACTGTTAAAAAATTACGATTTGCTGAATAGATGTTCTGCTATACAGACCTTACGATAGTTAGACTCTTATATAGATGTTTTACTAATTAAACGTACTGATTATAATAATTTTCATGTAGTTAGACGTTATGAAATCTAGACTTTCTGTTATCGTGGCAATCTGTTACGGCTTATGTTCAGTAGTGGACTTTTGATGGGCTGTAATGAAAAATTAAATTAAAATTTTAATTGCCTCTTTCTGCAATACACTCAATACTTAATCAAATTACATTCATTAAACAGCGTCAAATTGTACAGATTCCCTAGCGTTTCATTTATTTATTTTAATTAAATAGTTTCAACGTTTTGCTGCACTCACGAGATCGCGAAGTGTTTGTTTGTGTCTGTGAAATTAAATGCGATAAAATCCGTGAAAATTGGTCTCATTTCATTTGTAGAATTCACGCATCATAAAAGATTAATAAAATTTTCATTTATTTAAAACTTTTGTATCATGATAGAAATTATTCGTTACTTCTTTCATCACAATCTTCAAAATTCCATTATCTCAAAGGGGAGATGTTGCTATAGTTGCCACACTTAGCAGGCGGGTTAACAATCGAAGTTTATTACTGTATTGAGTTTTTCAGTTTCCCCACTGTCGCCGCTTCTCTCTCACGACATCTACGGGATGAAGAGAATTCATTCACACAGAGACACACACACGTCATGTATCGAATTATCTTACACCACCGCTACACGAACTTTTCCGTAGGAATTTATTTCATTTCAAGACAACACATCTAATAACGATGAATCCGGACCCTTTTTTGTATCTTACATATATCTGCTTTGTCTTAACAATAGATTCAACATATAGTAGGTGCAAGAAATTTCACAGTAAATATTATATTGTAAATTAAGAAACAATAACATGAAACAAGTCAGCTTTTTATAAAGCGTATTATGTAATATGAATTCTACACAATAAATCCATTCAGATATTTAAAAGAACTCAACGCATTGTTACTTTAAACAAAGACGACATCGATACCAACAACTGAAAATAAAAATAACTTGAAAGAGAAACCTGGGAATCTTTTCTTTAACTTTAGCTTTGATATTTCAGATACAGGGGAAAAACGATATTCTATTACGTTTAAAAGCATCAAAACAAATAAGAGCTTTGGTTAAGTTTTCAATTGGTATAACGATATCAGTTCAATTCTGGTTACTAGTCTGCAAAGGTAATGATTTGTTATTCCAATTACCTCATTACGTGATATATTATTATATGTTTTTTTAAGAACAAGGATGACAAACAAACCCACATTTTACCCGATAGTCAGTGGATGGTAGGGCCCACATACCTCTATTCAAGATTTATCGAATCATCGATTTATTGTTTATGATCGAATCAAATTTTTAAACGTTGCCACGCTTGGCAGGCGGATTAGCAAGCGCCGTTTTTTTATAATTTGTAGTTGTTATCAGGAAGATGCTTCAGCCCAGCTCCTCTTTCAGCTTTCCTGTTTCACCTTTTACGACACCCAAGGAACGATGAGGACTAGTGAATATTCTGACATCGCTACAACGCGGTAAAAATATACAAATTATGTACATAGAACCATTGTAGTTCAGGGTCCTGAACATGTCATAAAGGTGGCAGGGAAATACTGAAACAGGAGATGGGCTACAGTAGATATCTTCCTGAAAATAACTCTGAATGAAAATAATATATGGGGAAGTCCTTGGTTCAGCAGTGAACTTTTATAGGCTGTAATTTAGCAACTAGGTAATACACATCATTTTATATTAATTAATTTTTAACATATTTAACTGAAGTAGATCAAAATGATGTTGAGCTTGTAGATATATAAATATGAAATATATAAAGTGGAGTAATGGATGGAGTGGGTGATCGCTACCAAGCTATTTCTAATTTATCTTGTGTTGTTAATTGTAAACACGATTGTAAGCTATCATTGGGAAAAAATTTGTCCCGCTGGGTTCCTTACTGGTTCTTCCCAGGACAGAGTTTTTTTTTTGCGAACCAGGGGTAAATGAAAAAAGTGACTTTATGGTTATAATCTACATTGAATAAAAAAGTTTCTGTTTCTGCAAATATTTCTATATTACAAAAAATGTCAAAAGTAACACACACACACATATATATATATATATATATATATATATATATATTTTAATATTGAATGAAAAGTTCTATTCTATTATATGTACATTTGTCAAATATTTTCATTATTACATTAAACATGCTCATTATAAGGTTTTGCAATGAATGCCTAACGTTAGTTAAAATACAACTCACAAGGTACGGTCAGATTCAGAGCACTTGTATTTTGTAATTAATAAAAACAAATATTTTTTCCTTGAGATGTAAATCTTAAACCTCAGGACTTTTATGTGAAATATTCCAAGTTCCTGAAGTTACATATATGATATATAATCCCAGCCGCCAAATTTCGTGAACGCACTACGCGGCAAACGTCCCGCTACCATCCACACGTTCTGGATGCTTGGCGGTTCACCACTGTACGTTTCACAAGTTCAGTTCTTCCTCCTTAAATAACACGTCGGTATTCAGATTTTTAACATTCGATGTTGTAAATTCAATACCTTTAATTTTATTGCCATTTCAATTAACATATTATTTCAATACCTTGTAGCGGCGGTGTAAGAATATCCACTACCCTTTATCGTCCCGTGGGTGCCATAAGTGGCGACAGAGGAAAACCAAAACATCAGATGGCCGTCAGCATCTTCCTGATAAAAACTCAAATTAATAAAAGAAAACTGTGGTTGACCGTCTGCCAAATGTGGCGATTATGGTAAAATTCTTCCTTTGCCTACGTTAACCAGTGGACTTTAATAGGCTGTGATGGAAGGATTGATGAGTAGATTCATACACGTTTTTGTCGCTATGTTGCGGCACCGTTAAATTAAATATTATCACTGCCCCAATTTTTTCTAACAGGTGATTTTTTTTTGTTTATTTTTGATACTCTCAGTTCACCTAATGGTTAGTGGCTATGTGGCCAAGGACACTTGCAACTAACATCAAACAAATATGTTCTCAAATGCATTGTCTTCTCTGTGTACTGTAATAGATTGTTGTACAGCCTAGCCTATTATACTGGCTCTTTAAAACCTTTAAAACGAAACACTCCCGTGCGTGCACGGCCGATTGGCGGCAGGAATAAGTAAGCTGGCGGTACTCAACCAGACAGACTGCTAGCCAGAAAATGAGGCCTATTATTTAATTACAAAAGAGGTGATTATGGTAAAACACCAAAAGAATCTTGTAGCTTTTATCTTTTCAATAATCTTCTACCAGTGCATATCAGTTGTAATACACCCACGTCAAAAAGCAGTGTAAAAAGTGCGAAACATTAAGCACTCTGCATTGAGTATTTTTAATGAAATATTTCGTAACCTAAATTAACTAAGCGATACGCAACGAAAATAACTCCAAGTGACAAACAAACATACAATGCACCTGGTTGTTAGTAACTACTGTAATCCATGGACACCTTTTCTACATGGGAGTATGCCTACGCATAATCACCTCGCAGGAATAAGGACGGGTTATGTTGGACTCACATCGAGTAAAACCTAGTGGTGTTTCACCGTCACCGAATATTGGTAGGGCCAAGGGAACGCTTCATACACACTCATCTGCGGCCTCACCTCGCCGGCCGTCCCACGGCAACCCCTCCTCAGGCGATGCCTTCTATTCTCACTTTTACCTCTCAGGTAAGCTGCACCAGGAACACAAGGCGTGCTTTCCTCCGCGGCATTGCATTTCTTTCTGACTGCTGATTGTGTATTTTGAGTGTTTTATAACTTGAAGTGGTTACGGAAACATTGCTTTAAATAATTTTGGGAGTAATATCCATGAACCACAGCATCCATTTACTTTATACTATATATACTAGACAATGACGGTGATGATGATGACAATGATGATGGTGACGATGACGATGATGACGACGACGATGATGACGATGATGATGATGATGATGACGATGACGATGACGATGATGATGAAGATTATGGTGACGACGATGACGATGATAATGACGATTATGATGACGGTGATGATGACAATGATGATGGTGACGATGACGATGACGATGATGATAACGATGATAATGACGATTATGATGACGGTGATGACGACAATGATGACAATGCTGATGATGATGATGATGATGGCGAAGACAATGACGACGATAATGATGAAGATGATGACAATGACGATGACGATGATGATGACGTGTGTACGATGATGACAATGTCGATGACGATAATGATGACGATGATGACGATGAAGATGACGATGATGATGATGGATGTAGACAGCGATGACGATGACAATGACGATAATGATAATGACAACGATGGCGACGACGATGATGATCATAATGACGATGATGATGATAATGATAAAGATAATGACAATGATGTTGACGATGACGATGACGGTGATGATGATAACAAAGATGACGATGACGATAATGAACATGACGATGACGATGATGATGATGATGATGACAATGATGTTGACGATGACGGTGATGATGATGAAAATGACGATGATGATGATGACGATTACGATGATGATGACGATGATGTTGACATTGACGATGACGGTGAGGACATCATACGATGA